ACGACCCCTTTAGAGGTAGAACAACCCTTTCACGGGGTCATTTAAGATCATCAGAAAGCACAGATATTTATAGTGTGATTCATAACAGTAGCAAACTTCCAGTTATGAAGTAGCAATAAAAATAATTTTATGGTTGAGGGTTACCACAACATGAGAAACTGTTTTAAAGGGTTGCAGCCTTATGAAAGTTAAGAACCACAGGTTTAATGCTCCGTGTTTGTATGTTTTCAGAGCAGAATATGTGGCAACATACAACAAATTGGTGTGCTCTCTGGGGAAGGCCATGTCTCCTGTCCCCAGTTTTACTCAGTTGCCTATAGTTCTTTGTACAGGATTGAATCTTGTGGGCTTTTCACCATCTGATTTGGCATCAGTGAGATTTTATTTCTTTTGGTATTTCCTATGGCAAAAGAAATTGCTTATCATATTTTTCAATTTTTAATATTTAGTTTTTTATTAATATTCATATTGTGTTAACATCTATTTCTTTGATGATGTCTATAGGATACATTTTAAAAATCCAAATAATTAATCATGCAAATGAACTGTAAGGTATGTTTATGCATGTGGGTATATTTCAAAAACTTGACTCAGAAATCTGAAAGTTATAGAACTTCTAATATAATTAGAGAGAATTTATATAGCTTATTTTGTAATTTCTTTTCTTATTTCTTAAGTACATTTATGTGGCAATTTTCTATTAAGTTATACATTAATTTAGCATTACTATACAGTCTTTATCAAAGAGTAGGTAATAATAATTTTGCATTTTTGTAATACTGATGTACCCTAATGTTGATAGACACTACCTCATTATCTTTTTACTTTAAAATTATACTGTTTACATAAATAGATGATGGACAGACAGACAGAGATGATAGACCATACTCAAACTACCAAATTCCTCTCAGACATAATTTTTTTCACTGTTTGTTCAATTTCCTTCATTAGTTTCTGGATATTTTCTTAAAGAATTCACCTTTCTATTTTAATCAAACTCTTTGTGATCTAGGCTTCTAGCACTACCTTTTATAGCTCATCTCTTTCTCTGTTGTTCATATTTTATTGAACATGCTCCTATCAGCCTGCGTATCTCTAGTACAGTGATTCTCACCCTTCTTAATGCTGCAGCCCTTGAATACAGTCTCTCATGTTGTGGTGACCCCCACCATAGAATTATTTTTATTGCTATTTCCTAACTGTAATTTTGCTGCTGTTAAGAATCATAAATGTAAATATCTGTATTTTCTGTTGGTCTTAGGCCACCCCTGTGAAAGGCTCACATGACCCCAAAAGGGGTTATGGTCCACAAATTGAGAACTGCTACTCTCAGAGGGTAGGATTTAGAAAGCTGTCGATCACTTTGATAAGGAATAGGGAATGTTTTTCACAATGCAGGTCTTTCCTTAGCTCGAGTATATAACTCCCAAACACCAGGTTGATGTCTAATCTCATAAATAATATTTATCTCTGCACACATTATTTTTCCTATGTACTCATCTCCATGAAGGAGTTTAAATTAAGGACAGCAGGAATTAACAATAACTAATAATGAAATGTGTTATAACAAATGTTATTGTATTAGTTAATTTTTTTTTGCTTCTGTGATGAAGCACCATGACCAAGGAAAGAAAAACAAAAACAAAACAAAACAAAAAAAAAAGAAGTGTTGAATTATGCTCACATCAGAAGCTTTAAGTAGGAGGCAGAAAACAGAAGGAGCATTACATGTGGTTTTGAAAACCTCAAAGCTCACCACCAGTGACATTCCTCCTTCAAAAAAGCCACATTCCTTAATCCTTCCCAAACACTTCCACCAGCTGGGGACCAGGCATTCAAACATATGAGGCTATGGGGACCATTCTCACTCAGATCACCACAGGTACTTAAAACCTATAAAACATTTATTAAGGCATTTTCCATTTAATTTTTGGGTGATTTTTCACCACAGGTAATTGGAAGTGGAAAGAGATAAAACATGTATGCCGTGCCAAGGGACACTTTATACTAGATGCAGCTCCACAATATCTGTCTTGTCTTTTGCACAGGCAATGGATCCTAGAAGACTTCCCGAGTTGGTGGTTGGCTAAGCCTCTCTGTGGGTTTTATGGTCACCACTGTATCGTGTCTTTCAATCATATAGTTCATTTCCTTTAATATGTGAAAAAGTTTGGTTTTGCTCTACGAGATTTCTTTCCCTTATACAACCAACACACTTCTTGGGCTAGAGAGATGGTGTGGTGGCTCAGAGTACTTGCTGATCTTTGTGAAGATATGGGCTTTGGTTCCCTGTACCCATCTCAGGAGGCTCACAATTGCCTGTAGCTTCCACTCCAGAGGATCTGACACCCTTTTTTGGCCCTTGCAGGTTCTTGCACACAGGTGAACATAAGTACACACACACACTCTCAGTAAAAATAAGTTAACCCTTTGTATTATAGTTGCTAAAAGAAAATAAAGTGTATATATGAAATCTCTACAAGGGTGAAATTTTAATGTACTTTGCTTTTCCATGCTCCCAAACATTCTTCAATATTATCAGGAAAGACTAGAATTTTGTCCTGCCATTAAACTAGTTTATAGTTTTTTGCTTAACTCTTTTGCTTTTATTCATTCGTTTTATACCTTTCAATAATATTTTCAAATTGCTGTTGCTGGTTTACATATCAAAAACATTCTTGTCCTCTTTATACATGGAGAGCAGGCTGTAACATCCTTATACCATCCTCTGTAGATAGACTCAGCCTGAAATTTATTTCATTATTTATTTCAGCGGTGCATATTTTATTTTTCTGCTCTGTTGTTAATTTTCTTTTCCGTTTTGTTCTTCTTGGAATTCTCATTAATTGTACATTGTGTCTTAGCCCTTTATCACGCAGTTTTTCTGGTCTTTTTGAATTGTATTCTCTAACTCGATTTTCTCTTTATCTCCCTTTCCCTCTCCTAATCTTTCCTCTCTTTTTCTACACATGAAGGAGTTAAAATAATTTATTATTTCATTTTCTATTTTGTTAAATTTGCTTTTGAAAGTACCCACATCCTTACATTGGATTTTAATTCCATAACTCTGTGGTTTTTAGCCTTTAAAAATCATATGTTATTTTCTTAGTGACGTGAGATTTAGATGCAGAAATCTGATGTGCCTTTTCATACTTGGGTATGTACTTATTGACTTCTATAATTCTGATAAGTCCTATTATTTTACACTGATTGTACAAGTTTTTTTTAAAACTCATTTCAATCTAACCTCGAGAGAATGGAGCCCTGTAATATAGAATCTCTGATTATTGTTCACTGTCTCCTTGGGATGAAGCCACTCATTTTTCTGGAAGAGCATTGGTGATCTTTATCAGTCTTGTCTAATGTCTCTGCCTGTTCTTTGGGGATAACCATACTGTTGTCTTGGCTTTAGCTGGGAATGAGCATCCACGGTGTGCAAAGGTCTCAGCAATGGATTGTTACTGTTGCTCAATCTCTAATTAGTTTTCACCCCTACGAACTACAAAATACATTTGTTAGTGCCAATATGTCCATCATGATGTTTGTATAAGCTGTTTTGTTACAATAATGCTAATTTCTAGAAGCTATCTTTTCCCTCTTTCTATCTTTTATAACTACCTAAAAATTCTCCATATTTTGTCATGTCGAATGTTCCTCAGTTGTGAGTTAATTCTGAGAGCAGGGGTTCTGACATGAACACAACATCTAGAACGTTCTGAATTATACATCCTGATGAGGAAGGAATCAGACAAAAGACCCATTAGAATGTGAACATCTATCATAGTCACTAGTGAGCGATATTAGGTGGCGGGGTGGGAGGAGAGCAAGGTAAAGACAAGAGCAATCAGATGGAGCAGCGTGCCAAGGGACGGAGTCTTCTTCCTTCTGACTGCCCCCTGAGGACTGTCTAACCTACGGTTGCTTTCCACTGTGTTAGCTGTGACTTTCACACTTGTTCTTGATCTACACTCTCAGTGCACCAGTACGGCAACAATAACATATGTTATGTACCCAGGTTTCATTATCTCTGAGCCTAGTCCCCACTCCACAGACTGCCAATGGTATTACACAACATAGAGATGCCCAGACTTTTAATCTTTCCTCTTCAATTATTCTTTAACTTTTGGTGCCCAAATCCATGTCTATGCCACACCCGTTTGGATATTTGAAAATTGCTTCCTCCGTTCCTTTATTTCGAATCCTATTTGGTAATCCATTTGCCTTGACTGCTCTGACTTACCTATTCTGCTGGCTCAGTTCTCTTTCTCACCTATCCATTACAAGCGCTTCCGACAGTATTGCCAGTGCACATTTTGCCCATTTATAGTCCATAATGCTAGTACTTTCTAACTTTGGAGTCTGCCTGTAAAATTATTTTTAAATGAGAACATTATTTTTAAATTATAAGTATTTTTTGTACTTAAGGTACATTTGGTTGAATGTTTCCATTTCCAGACTGCTTATGTTCTTAAGATATTAAATTATTTATGAAGTCAGTAAGATAATCTTTTGACAGTATAGCTGAAACTCTACAAAGACAAACTATAATTTTCAACATTTAAAATCTTCATATTACACAAAATTCTTTAACTTCTACTCTTAGAATTTTTCTCAGTTCTCCTTCCTCGAAGAAGACTGTAATTACGCTAAGATTAAGTTTTCAGTTTTCATTGTTTTAAAGTTAGAGGAGTAACAGAATGTTAAAACCAGCTTTTAGAAAGGGGAATGACTGCATTCATTTTATATTTGGTTAATTTCGAATGGTTTAAGCAATTGAGGCCAAGCATGTCAAGGTGGAGCAAAGAAAATACCAAGCATGATTTTCTTCCTCCAGAGAAATTATGACCAACTGAGAAAGAGGAAAGCTATAATCAGTGTGTCTTTTATTTATGGTATTACCTATATAGCTATAAATAATAAGGATATCCTAATCATTTCAACTACTGTAGGAATGCAAGTAGCTTTGCAGTGAAAAACGGTCACTTTTTTTTTTCAAAAAGTACAACGTGCCTATATATCATCTAGACAAGAAGAGCAGCCTCTAAAGGGCGAAATTCCAGCAGCAGATAAGTAGGCGAAATGGTCATGATCAGAGAAGAGCACGGGTCAGACAGAGTACACTCTCACATTAAATTCCCTTGTCTCTTCCCCACACGCTGGAGCTGGGGGCACCGAACGACCAAGGTAATTATCAAAGACTTCGCCTTTACTTTCCATTTTAAAAGATTATGTAGTATTTAAAGATTACTAATGGCTAGAACCTTTCAGTTTAAAATTGAATATTTCATCCTAGGGTGCAAAATAAAGAATGGAACAAGATAGTGAAAAATGGAGCATGGTCCTCTAGCAAGCCGATGTTTTATTGTTCGGCAGAGCTGTTAGCCTCAGCTACTCAAAGCCAGACGAGACGCTTTGGAAGGTCTACATGTTCAGGGCTATGGCCTGTTAAACCACCCATCCTCAAAGTACATTTTCTGCCCTATATCAAACTTTCTCCTCCCAAAGTTCTCAAAGGAAACCAATATTCTTCGTTGTCCTTGAACCTATGGCATGGACAAGGCAAAGGGAAAGACTACGAAAAGGCGAAAAGGCGCTTGGGGACATGCGAATGACTGATTCTTGTAAAGATGCCAACACCGTATCCCAAGTGTTTGTAAAAGGCAACCCTGCAAAGTCCAGCCTGTGGGCCTCTCTTACTGTCCCACCTATCACACGTTTCTTAATACGCTTCTACCTCCAAGCAAAGGTGACACATGGCTGCCCTGAAGGTTCTACCTGAGTGCCACCTTCCACAGAATAGCATGAACAGAAAGATTTTAGGATGGTATCACCCTGTGGTCTGTTCGTAAGCGCCCATTTGTGTGGCCTGTACAAAATGCCCGTTTGTGTGGCCCATTCACAGTGTGCAGTTGTTTGGCCTGTTTTCAGTTCCATTTCATGAGGGCTGTGTTCAGGACTGTGTCTCTGAACTCAGCAGGAGCTGTTTTTCTCTGAGCCACAGAAAAATGTAAACAGATATTACAGTTTTTGGAGGCACTGCCTTGGAATTTCCTCTCTGTTTTGCAGCCCCGGTCCTGTCTCCATGTGCCAAAAGCGGACTGGTTCCGACAAAGCAGCCTCGCAAAGGCAAGGGCTGAGCTATCAACAATGTGATTGTCTTTCGAAAATGCACAGAAGAAAGAGCTGACATTTTGACGTGCCTGGGAAACCCGACAAAGAACACCGGGGATTATGCCTTCCCGCCATTGTAATCCACTAACTTCTTGTTGTTAGTTTTTAATCCAGCATCATGTCTAGACCATTTCTTCTGTACCTCCAACAAAGCTTTGGGAAAAATACAGCCCATCCCCACATGCTTCTACTGCCTTCAGCTATTATTCCTGGCCAACTGTGAACTCTCTTCTAAGTGTAGACTTTTTGTCTTTCTAGGACTATGGGATTCTGCTATGAGTATGAAAGCAGACAAGAAACACAGGTACTTGAGGTTCCTTTGAGAAGATTAATTTAATATTCCCTTGAAACAAGTGTTAGGTAAACAATAGAGGATATTGCTATAACTTCTAGAAAGCGTGTGTGCAGTGTAACTAATGCATAAATGATGACATGGTTGCATTCAAAAGAACAAGTGTGAAAATCTTAAATGTGCCTAAATACTCTCTAAATAAAGAAAATATACTTCAAAATAGAGAAAAGGTTTTGTTTTGTTTTTTAAATCAGAGCACTTACTATTGGAACAGAATTGCACAAGTGAAGAAGAATTTAAATGTGATGGAGAAAGCCATTCCTTCTGGCTCTTGGCTTTCCCCACCACCAAATCAATTTACAACAGCCCCCGGACAAGAAAGGAGCCTTGCAGGCTTTTAAGCTCCGCACCACAGAACAGGAGACAAAGCGAGTTGGTGCAGAATAATTTGCAATTTCCTGCAAAATGACTTCCATGAAGTTGTGTAAAGTCATCCAGAACTGCAAAACTGATCCTCCAGATCAAATAAATATGAGAACATTTCAATCGTTCACTAAACCATGTTGGCTTTTCATTCCAGTCAGCCGCCAAATGGATGTTTGCAAGCTAGAGGAATTTTAAATAATTTTTCATGGGAGCAACTTTTAAAGAAAAGAAAAAAACAAAACAAAACCCATATTTTCTGTCATGTTTTTGTATTAGCTTTTGAGCTCTATTAATTTAAGGGAAAGAGCCCAAACTAGGAGTCATAAACAATACTTATAAATCTGTTAACTAAATAGCTTAGAATTCATAATCTGTGTCTACAAATAGACTTGGGATGTAACACACTAGAGAGACTGGTGGTCTTTTTAGTGATCCGTGAACAACACAAATTTATAAGGAGCTAAATATACTCATTTTAAAATAAACTACAGTTACTCTTGAATATCAAAGATAAAAGAGACCAGAGAGCTTGGAAGGAAAGAAGTAAGCTGTGTTTGAGTGAAGACCCCAGGTAATAAGAGTCACGGGGTGTAAGCTTGCGTGTGTGTGTGCGTGTGTATGCACCTGTTAGTTTGATACATGTACTT